TATTAATAACTGTTGAGCACTTATCACTTGGAATTAGGCAGTATTTGTCCTGTGGCTGCTTTATTTCAGTTAGCATAATGACTCCATTTACATGACCTATCTAAAATACTCAAACTACTGAAATCAGAGAATAGAACTGTGGTTACCAGGTGCTGGGGGGTACAGGGAAATGGTGAGTTGCTGTTCAATGGGTATGAAGTTTCAGCCATGCAAGATGAATTAATTCAGAATTTCACACAGCACACAGCCTATTGTCAACAATACCGTATTGTGCATTTTTTTCAATTGCTTTGCAATACTTTTATTTAAGGCTTTGTTGAAAATATGACCTTTCATAAATTATTTTCCAAAGAGGCAGAAAAGGGGCATTAAAAAAAAAAAAAACTCACTTGTCTGTTCACTAACACACGTTCAGCAGGACCGTTTTTCACACTCATTTAAATGATATATTTGCGGTCACAGATGTTTGAAACTCCCACACAAATCTCAATGACAGGGACTTCTAGGGTCGGAGCGGCGAAGTCTTCCTGAGCAGGAGCATCTAGTCTGTTTACGACTTTGACAGGTGATATCTTCCAGTCGGGAAGAGTTATTAAGATCTGACAAGTTCAGCAAAACTGCTTGAACCGCCCTGCACACCCCACACCGGAGCACAGTGCCATCGGACGCCGCAGCGCTCGCAGCGATAAACACCGTACCAACTGGAAGCGCCGGTGCGCTGCTCGGGGCTGGGGTGTCGGTGGCGCCCACGTCTCTCGCAGGGGCCCGGCTCCCCGCGTCACCGCGATCCCCGGTCCTCCCACCCACCTCGCCTAGCGAGCACCCCGGCGCGCACCGCGGGGGCCGCCCCGCCTCCCCGTACCCGCCCCCCCCGGCCCGCGTTCGCTAGCCCGGGCCTCGCCCCCTTTCCTAGGGGTGGTCCGGTGGCAGAAGGCCACACGCGAGCACACGGCGACCGCGAGGGAAGCGCTCGGGCCCGGGGCCGCCGCTGTGCTGCCGGAATGCCGAGCCGCGGCCGCCCGCCCTAGCCGCGAACGCCGGGCAGGAGCCCCGAACGCCGCCCGAAGTCGCGGGCCGTGCACAGCAGCCTGCGCCGCCCCAGGGAACACGACAGCCGCAGCTCGCGGCGCGGGGTCACGGGCAGAGCCGGGTAGCCGCCGCGGAAACCGCGCGGAGCACTCACCTGCGGCTGGCGGGCCGTGAGCTGCGCCCGCCCGCTGGTAACCGTCCAAGTAGTCGGCGGCCCCCAGCTGCGGGAGGCCCGCGAAGACCACGAGGCCACGGAAGAGGAAGCGGGAGGGAGTCCCCGCCCAGGTGCGGCCCGCTGCCCCGCCGGGGCGGCCTGGGGGGCGGGCAGGGGAGGGCGCTGGGGGGAGGGGGCGGGGGCAGAGGTACAGGTAAGTGCAAGGGGCGCACGCCAAGCTACAAGTAACCGTCTGGCATCTCTCCCCACCTGTGCGGCCACACGTGGTGCCCCACCAAGTTCGCGGGGTGAATCTCAACGTTAAGTGTCCTTTCTCCAAAAAGAAAGGACATAGGAAAACTTCTGGAGGTGAAGGATAAAGATCAGATGTCTGCGTATTCCAAGCTCAGACTGTATACATTAATTATGTGTATTGTATGTCAATTATACCTCAATAAAGCTTTTTAAAAATTTATCGTTTGATGGTGTAGTGATGCTCTTAGGAATTAGTTACAGGAGTTTTAGCTTCTGTTAAAGATCTGCCAGCTGGTTTGCCTTAAGTCCACTTTTTTTTTTTTAAGATTTTATTTAGGGGGACGCATGGGTGGCTCAGTTGGTTAAGCGGCTGCCTTCGGCTCAGGTCAGGATTCCAGGATCCTGGGATCGAGTCCCGCGTCGGGCTTCTTGCTCCGCAGGGAGCCTGCTTCTCCCTCTACCACTCTGTCTGCCTGTGCTCACTCTCTCTCTCTGACAAATAAATAAATAAAATCTTTAAAAAAAAAAAAAAAGGATTTTATTTAGGGACGCCTGGGTGGCTCAGTCCGTAAGCATCTGCCTTCGCGTGAAGTCGTGATCCCACCATCCTAGGATGGTGCCCCGCATCTGGCTCCCAGCTCGGAGGGAAGCCTGATTTCCCTCTTCCCACTCCTCCTGCTCGTGTTCCTGCTCTCGCTGTCTCTCTCTAGCTGTCAGGTAAATAAATATTTGAAAAAAGAAAATAAATTATTTATTTATTCGACACAGGGAAAAAGTGCACAAGTATAGGGGAGGGGCTGAGGGAGGAGCAAGCAAGGAGCCCCATGTGGGGCTGATCCCAGGACTCTGGGATCATGACCCTAACCTAAGGCAGACAATCAGCTGAGCTACACAGGCGCCCTGCCTTGAGTCTACTTTATATATGCCATCTGTTTTCCTCTCAGCGGTCTTTTCATTTATGAAGGTTATTTGGCACAGTGGTACTCAAACTTTAATATGCAGAGGAACCACCTGAGACATTGTTAATAGGCAACTTTTGGTTCGGTAAGGTTGTGATGTAGCCTGAGGTTCTGTAATTCAAAAGAGCTCCCAGATGATGCTAATGCTACTGGTCCACAACATACAGTAGCAAAACTCTAGCAACACTCCTTTTCACTTCCAATTAACTGCCTCAGAAAAGGCATGGGGCTAAAGGCTGTCAACTACTTTTATTAAAAGTATCTAGAATTAAGAGGCACTTGGTAATAAAAAATACCTGAGTGAGTGTGCCTTTGGGGACAAGCACGCTGACAATACCAACTAATAACATCCATCAGTCAATATTACTGAGTCTCCAGTAAGTAGTCCTGGTGCTATTCAAACTGCATGTATGAGCTACAGTCTTAGAGATCCATCCTAAAGTGGGATAAGAAGGAGGTATACAAGCATGTTTCATTCGCTTCACGAACTGAGGAATTCTAAAAAGAGTTTGCATTTACAAATTCAATTTGTAAAATACAAACCTAAAACTACGTGTAGAATCAGGGGGCCTGAGTAGCTCAGTTGAGTTACTGAGGTCATGATCTCAGGGTGGGGAAATCAGTCCTGCACTTGGCTCCCCACTCAGCACTGAGTGCTTCAGATTCCCTTTACCCCCCCTTACTCTTGAACACGTGTATGTTCTCTCTCTCTCTCTCAAATAAATGAAGTATATTTCTTAAAGTATTGTAGAATGTTTCAAAGTGGTTTTGAATTTTAAAGGGAAGTTTCTCCTATTTAGTAATAATATACATGAGCATGTGTATGTATGCACAAATGTATTAAATATCCTAATGCAGAAAATAATGTAGCATCAATTCAAATAATTCCATTGTTCTAGAAACAATTTCCTTAAAACAAACATGATTGTACAAATATTGACATGAAATACTCATGTTGGTATCAAAATATATAGGTAAACATGCATCAAAATACATAAATATTTTATAATATGCAATATGGCTACATTGTTATATCATAACACTATATGAAGTTGATTTCAAGCAACCTTCATTTTCTTTGTTCAAATGAAGTTACATAATTTTGAAAATTAAACACACTATTTGTTGATAACCATGGACATCTATCCTTCATTAAAAAAAAAGCAAATAGCAGAATGATGTCAAGATACACTCCACTGGAAAAATCCTAAATATGTAACCAATGAAACTTCAACAGAGGAAGAGAAATGGGAAAATATGTTCAAAATCAAATGCTAAAGTATCTACTAATACTCCAGGTGGAATTTGATTAAGAAAACCAATTAAAAGGAGAGGATAAAGAACCCTTTGGGTGGGGGGAGAAAAAAGTGTCAATATGTACAAGTGAAAAGAGGAAATATATTTACTTTCAGTTAAAGTGAGAATAACGCAAACCATTAGAAAGGTGACTCTTTCCAAAGAAATGGACCAAATTGTGAGAAATTTTAAAGCACAGAAAAGAAACTGACACTCATCTTAGAGATAGTGAATTGCCCTCACATGTTTTTTTGAGTGAAAAAAGACAGCACCCAAAAATTCCACGGAGATCATATTGAGAAGTAGATTGTTTTGTTTACGACTAGTGTTAAAACTAGGTGTCTGAGGAATTAATGGTACTGTTTACAAACAGGCAGAGGAGTCCTCCCTGGCTTACTCATCTCCTCTTTCCTGTATCCCTTTCTATTGTTCTTAATAAAATCCCTCCCCATCAACAGAAGAATTTTGTACAAAGAACTTCTCATTAAAAAGGTGACACATTTATCTTGCTGCAATATTTTTCTCTTGTTCAACAACACACATCACTAAAATAAAACAGTGCAGCAAAATAAATGTCAAATTTTTAATAATTAAGAAAACCCACTTGTTTGTGATATGGGATTTGGATTCATTTAGTTAGAATCCATCATTTCCAAAGAGACACAAGTATCTTAGTTGCTAAGTTACCTCAGATGAGAACCATCATGTAGGCTGTAAATTAAATTATATTTCCTTTCAAATACAACTAGGTTTGAATAATAATGGGATTTCTAGTCATCACTCCTATCAAAGACTCTCCATAAAAGTCCTAAAAAGCAGCTGTTGAACCTAAATTTTACCCAGGCACGAATCCAACCATGGCTGACATGATTTCTATAGTCATCATGGCTGCCTAGAAGGCAGTGACAGCCCTTCCTCTTAACCCCTCCCCACAGCCTTCCACATAAGAGGTCAGAATGGAAGATGCCCTATACCTAATAAAGGTCAGCAATCCATAATATATGTCTCCCAAAGGAAAAGTATAAAGAGGTTCCTTCTCCCACCCATTTTCCTTTTTAACCAAAACACACACACACACACACACACACACACACACACACACCCCATGTTGCCGTGTTAACAAAAAGCACCAAAGTCTATATTGGCATAGAGACCACCCCAAAGGACAGTGCTAATAGCTGTAGGCGGGAATGTGTATTCATTTCATGTGATACATACTAACTTTAACTCACTCAAATCAAAAGACTTAAATCCAAACACAGTTATGAATGTGAGCGTGTGAACAAGTAAACCATTAATTCACTTACAGCAAGTTGTTGGGTCTTCATCACTGTCATCAGAACAGTCCGGCTGAGAGTCACAGACCGATTCTTGGGAAATGCATTGGCCACTGGCACAAGTGAACTCATCCTTAGGGCAAAGCCTTCTGCGTGGGGCAAGTGCACAGGCATAGACCCAGAGCTGATCCAGCCCAATAAAACCTTTCTGGCTCAGAAGAGTGCCTTCAAATATAATCTTAAAAAAGCAAAACATGAACAATTTATGAGTTTATAATCTCCTTTAAAGGACCCGTCCAAAAAGGAATAATTGACATTTAATAATTACCAAAACAAATACCTATTAAAAGAGCCAGCAAATACAACCACCAAAGTTCCTACTTGGGAAACCTGACTCACATGTGTAGTTGATCTGAATGGAAAAAACCCTACATTTAATAAAGTTCAGCAATCCATAATATATGTCACCAAGGGGAAAAGTATAAAGATATGGACACAATAGATCCACAGAGGCCTCTGAGAAACCGCTCATGATCCAATGAAATACAACATGCCACTTAAACCATGGGCCATGTCCCTGCCTGCTAACTTTTAACTTGGGCATCATCTTCATGGCTCTCTTTAACATGCAGGAAAAACAATAAGCATTATCACTACTTATACAACAAGAGCTATAACTACATCTGGTTTTTAAAGTACTGCATTTAGTGTTGAAATGCAGGCAGGGAAAGGTTAGACAAATAGTAAGGGACACAACAGATGAACAGAAAACATAAAAGACTAAATATAAAAATCTATTTTCACAAAAGAAGAATTTCTCTAATAATCAAAGAAGTGCCAATGAAAAGAAATAAATCTCATATTCTCCAGTCAAATTACTAGCTTTTTTGGAGGGTATGCAACATTAGCAAGTGAAACAACCATCCTTGCTAGTCCAATGTAAAATACTATATCAAAGTATTAAGGATCCTTGAGGTTCCAGCAAGAGCAACGGTTGGCTAACACCAGACAGAAGGAGAATAGCCGACTTTACCACATAACTAATTCTCTCCTGTCCAATAGGGTGGCCACAGCTACAAAGGGCTATTTCAAATTAAATTAACTAAAATAAAATTAAAATTCAGTTCTTCAGCCATACTAGTCACTTTGCAAGTGCTCAGCAGTCTTCCATGCCTACCTTCTACCATATCCGAGAGCACAGATACTTACATTTTCCCCTAGAACAAAAAATACTATTGAACAGCAATGAACTAGGTATTGTTTGTGTATAAATAAGATACTAGGAAGAAAGATTAATTCCTTTTCATTTTTTCCAGCTGAAAGTTTCTGGATACGTTTTCTCCTTTGCAAAAATATGAGGGGGAAAAAAAAAATATATATATATATTTGTTAAGGATTATGTCTCAGTTTGCAAATATATTTAACAATTTAGTCCAGAAGATACTATATTCAAATCATATCTAATAATAGGAAACCTATATGCTGCTATATACATTCCCCATAGTGAATATCATAGTATAATTAAGTATAAATTATTGGACCTACAGCCACATATGTTTATAGCAGCAAGAGATTAGGTATGCAAAAATGACACTAGTTTGGGTTTCAAAAATTGATGCATTTAAACTTAGATTTGAAAAAGGTGCTATTATTGAAAGTTAATTACATTTAATATGCACTTGGAAATCTAGAATAACTCCCAAATTACTCTCTTTTTATTTTGTTTTATCTTTGATAAAACTTGATAACAAGACCAACTTTAATATTCAGTTTATATTAAAGAATGAAACTCCAATCATTTCGTACCTCTTTCAGAAGTTATAAAGATAAATATCAGCTTAGAAAATTAAAATAGTGTCAAATATTAATTCAACTGGCTATGATATAAACCTCAACTTCGCTGTGATTAATACAAAAATGCTATGGTTCAGAAATTCCAATCTCAGCAGTAATGGGATTCTAAAATCTGTATGGGTTACAGTTCAGTATCATTTGGGTTCTCCTTTCAGCACCTAGAAAAATGTATATATGTGATATTACCATAAAGGAATGAAATTGGTTTCATGAGCCACATGTACGGTCTTATTATTTTATACTCACAGTCCAGCATAAGCATATTCATACACTCTTCATATAACAAAAAAGAATGAAATTTTAAAAAAATTCTACACTTCAAAAGTAAAATTATGAATAACAATAATACCACTTACTTAAATGTTGATCACACTGACATTGCTACGTTTTGCAATGTTGCTAGGATATTGGAAAAGAAGGAAATGATGGACAAGCATTTAATATGAAAGCTAAAAAAAAGTTATCAGATATATTTTTCTGCACAATCTCAATTCTATATACAATACAAAATTCCCAAGTTCATTTTCTTAAGAGACCATATTCCCACTGGGCACATGTATATTTCAGATATTTCAGATATATCTTTGCACAGGTAGATATAACCATATTTTATAAAGATATGAATTACTGCCTTCAAAACATATGTATGGTTTTTACTGGTTTTCAATACCAATTTATTTTTTTATCTGCTTCGTAATGACATTTTCTTCCTTGTTGGCAATGCATGGTGCTGGGGTTAGAGAGGGTAGGAGGAGAGCCCATGTACAATGAAGAAGCTTTATACAGGAGTAATGTGGCTGGGGAAAGGCTAAGTACAATGAAAGGAAGTAGGCAATTGTTCTCTCCAAATACACAAATCTACATCCTTAATTTAAGTCCTAATTTAAATTTAGCTATGGGTGATAAAATTCACTACTGCAAAGCTACAAGTTTAACTTATGATATAAAAGAATAGTTGTTTTTCCATTTTGTACCTTAAACGTCTTCAGGCTTTCTGGTATTAACACCTCTGCTTTCACCCATTTTCCGTCAGATGATGTATTGTATATCCAGAATACTTCTTCCTTCAATTCAAATGAAACGACATTAGTCATTCCCCAAATTCTACTCTCATGGTTCCATATGTACTCTCTCAATTACATTTCAGTAGAGTTTACCCTACCTGCACCACACCAAGTACTAGGAAGCCTAAAGTATTGGTAAAAATGTATATGACCTTTTTTTTTTTTTAAAGATTTATTTATTTGTCAGAGAGGAAGAGAGAGAGAGAGAGCACACAAGCAGGCAGAGAGGCAGGCAGAGGTGGAGAGAGAAGCAGGCTCCCTGGTGAGCAAGGAGCCCAATGTAGGACTCGATCCCGGGACTCTGGGACCATGACCCGAGCCGAAGGCAGTGGCCTAACCCACTGAGCCACCCAGCGTCCCGTATATAACCTTTTTTAAAGGAACAATAAAATGGAGGGAGGGAAGGATGAAAAGGCAGAGCCCAGAGGATATTTAGGGCAGTGAAAATACTCTGTACAATAACATAGGGTGGACATATGTCATTAAACATTTGTCCAAATACGTGGGACGCGCAACACCAAGCCAGAACCCTAATGTAAACTATGGACTTTCAGTGATAATGACAGGTCAATGCTGGTTCATCATTATCACAAAGTTACCACTCTCAGGGAAGATATTGGTAAAGGGGAGGCTCTGCATGTGTGGGGACAGGAGGAAAATGGGAAATCTCTGTACTTTCCCCCTAATTTTGCTAGGAACCTAAAACTTCTCTATAAAAACAGTCTTTATTTTTGTTTAAGATTTTATTTATTTACTTGACAGAGAGAGAGATCACAAGCAGGCAGAGAGGCAGGCAGAGAGAGAAGGGGAAGCAGGCTCCCTACCAAGCAGGGAGCCCAATTTGGAGCTCGATCCCAGGACCCTGAGATCATGACCTGAGCCAAAGGCAGAGGCTCAACCTTAAAAACAGTCTTTAAGGGGCGCCTGGGTGGCTCAGTGGGTTAAGCCGCTGCCTTCAGCTCAGGTCATGATCTCGGAGTCCTGGGATCGAGCCCCGCATCGGGCTCTCTGCTCGGCGGGGAGCCTGCTTCCTCCTCTCTCTGCCTGCCTCTCTGCCTGCTTGTGATCTGTCAAATAAATAAATAAATAAAATCTTAAAAAAAAAAAAAGTCTTTTAAAAAAATAAGGAAATAAAGCATATCTATATAGTAAATCTGTTTATTTTTTTATGATGGCAAGTAAGGACAGAACAAACATTTAAAAAGAATTTTATTTTTTTTTAAAGATTTTTATTTATTTATTTGACAGACAGAGATCACAAGTAGGCAGGAAGGCAGGCAGAGAGAGAGAGAGAGGAGGAAGCAGGCTCCCTGCTGAGGGGAGCCAGATGCAGGCTGGATCCCAGGACCCCTGGAATCATGACCTGAGCTGAAGGCAGAGGCTTTAACCCACTAAGCCACCCAGGTGCCCCTTAAAAAGAATTTTAAATAAAGTACTTCAAAAATACAAATTTAAATAGGAATTCATACTGCCAGCTACTTTAATGTTGGTCCCAATAACATTACTACATTTTATTATATTGTCAAGACATTAGAAAAGAAATGACAGGCAAACACTTAATATGGAAGTTTAAAAAAACAATGTTATCAGATATATTTTTCTGCACAATCTCAATAAATTGACATACCTTTTTATTCCCCCATGGGAGAATTCATTCCAAGTTCCAAACAATACAGTTATTTTCTGGAGATTATATTTCTATTTGACTCTCTTGTCATTTCCCCCATGGGAGAATTCATTCCAAGTTCCAAACAATACAGTTATTTTCTGGAGATTATATTTCTATTTGACTCTCTTGTCATTCTATCAGACCTTTTTGTGCCGTCTAGAGTCTGCTATGTCACGCATCTGTGAAATGATCATTTTCCAGGTGGCAAAGTGTATGCAAAATTATGTTTCTACTATACACTATAAGGTAAGATACTTAATAAAATTCCATAATGTAGTCCAAAGTTTTGCCTATTTTATTGTGCTTTATGGTCTATGTCCATGCTTTTATGCTCTGAAATAATAAATTCTTTAGATTCTACCAAACATATAAGTTCATTTGACATTTCCTTGGTAAAGACAGCCCAGATTGTTTGTAATATTTACCCAACAGATGCATTGATTTTTTTGTGTGTATCAGTATAGTGAAAATGCAGTGGCATAAATATGTCTCAGGTTGAGCTCTGAGACTGTGCCCTCCTTCTACTGTAGGATAGAAGACAGCACTGGAAGGTGACATCTCATTGTAATTCAAATGACACATGACACTTGGACTTTTTTCAGACTCTCGCAAGCATCAATCTCCCCTCAGCTTCACTTATTTCATTCATAACCAACATTTTCTAAAAATGAATCTATTCTCAACTTAGTCCTTTACCCTCTGATGTCTACTCCAATTTCCAAGTCTTAAATATTTCAGAAGATAGTCTAAACCCATTAAAATGTACTTCATTTTATTACTTATTCATATCAACTGTTAAGACTTCGACAAGACAGTGAAACATCCATGGTAGACGTATTTTCGGCTGAGAGCTTCTGGGTCACTTCAGGAGGAAGTGGAGTTATACACAGTTGGGACACACAACTAATTTTTCTTGAAATAATTTCCTATGCAACTTCAACTATTTAGCAACGAGACACTTATCTCTTGCACAGACATTTTAAGTGACACGGCTTGGCAAGTTGCATTCATCATGTCCCTTCACTTTCATCTTATGAAAATAACTTAGAGCATTTGTGCTCTTTTTTCACAATGACTAATTAATTCCCCTCTACTCTACCAGAAGAAGAATGTGTTTACATTTTTTTGAAAAATGAGCAGAATTCTTTCTAAACTTAATGGCTTTTTGTACTCGAAGTTAATGGTATGTTATGAAATACAGATCTTTTTTATCACAGTTTCCTGTCTGACAACACAAGTAATGAAAAAGAAAAAGAGTTTACTTCAACTAAATAAAAGCAGCTTTTATTTTATTCTGTCCTAACTCTCAGACTCTTCTTACCTAGTTACTTTCAACAGGTATCCATGTAAGAAAGAAACTTTCGGCTCAGAAAAAACTTTCAAGTGATGTTTTAATTTTCTATTATCTTAAAATCAATCAATCAATCAATCATTTTTAAGTATCTTTATTCCCCTAGACTAGGATTGATAATGCCATTTTACCTTTCAAGGAAAGAATTGCTCTATCTCCTAAGAGACCTGAGCTTATCCTTCCCTCTGCCAGTGAAGAAATCAAAGGTCCCAATTTCCAGCTTATCGTTTTTGTTCTTTTAAAACTACTTTTGAGGGGTGCCTGGGTGACTCAGTCTTGGTTAAGCATCTGCCTTCTGTCCAGGTCATGCTCCCAGGGTTCTAGGATGGAGTCCCGCATCAGGCTCCCTACTCAGCAGGGAGTCCGCTTCTTCTTCTCCCTTTGCCCCTCCCCCTACTTATGTCCTCTCTCGCTTGCTCTGCTCTCTCTGCTCTCTCCCTCTCTCTCTCTCAAATAAACAAATTAAAACAAATTAACTACTTTTGATTAAATGCAGGAACAGGAACATGTACTTTGGAAAAGACTTTCCTTTGAGGAAAGCTTATGATGGCGTTCCTTTTTATAAACAGTATCAGGGGTGCCGGGCTCAGTGGGTTAAGCCTCTGCCTTCGGCTCAGGTCATGATCTCAGGGTCCTGGGATCGAGCCCCACATCAAGCTCTCGGCTTGGCAGGGAGCCTGCTCCCCCCCAACCCTGCCCCTGCCTACCTCTGACTACTTGTGATCTCTGTCTATCAAATAAATTTTAAAAAATCTAAAAATAAATAAATAAAAACAGTATCATATGAGAAAAGATATGTTCTAAGGCATTTTCTTCCCTGCCCCAGCTATGTGTTCTTCCTATTTGTCAATGGAAAATTTTTTTAACTATCTAAAAGGTACCACAAGCTGGGCACCTCACTATCCTTGGCTCACTGACGTGGAAACTCTCTTCAGGATAAAGGATAGGCTGTTGCTAAGATTATTATTTTATAGAAGATAGAGACCTAATCTCAAGGATGGTGATATGGTACAAACTAGAACGGCTACACACTTAAGCTGATCCTAACAGAGTCAACTTTTTATTTAACAACTTGTCTTTTACCTGTGTTATCTAATTCTCAAGGTCTGATGTCCTCTGAAAATAAAGAAAACTACCTTCAGCATCCTTCCTAGGTATTTCTTGATTTATCTGCACATATCCTAAGGGTTGTTTTCTATATTCTATTCATGGAAGATTTAAATGATCATTTCATGAAGAGCTAATTTTTTAAACGATAGGTTTGGAGTCCTTTTTAACTTTGTGATAAAACATGAGCTTAAAACTTAAATGTATTTTGATGCAGATTTTCCATTGGTGACCAATATGTTATATATTATATTTAGAGATCAGAGCCAATAGTATGAAAGAAAAAAACAGGAGATTGCCTTGTAGAATACTGGGTAAACTAATAAACAAAACATCTCTCAATGCTCTGAGATGTATGCCCCCACCAGTTCTAATTAATACATTAAGTCAGTTCTCCATGACTAACTTCTTTTCTTATAATGTGGGAGATGGAGCTCTGATAATTCTATTCATATTATTATGATGTGGTATCTGAAGTCAATTTGTTTATAATCTTTTCTTATATAGTCCCAAAGTTTATAATCCATCACTGATGTTCAGGGTAGATTAAAATAATCTTTAGGATTAGGAGCTATATTGAACAAATTTCTACTCAAATTTAAGATAACTCATTCAACATTCAGAGAATAGTAATTACCTGCCATGTGAAAAGTACTATCATAGAAACATATATTTTTTTTAAAGACTTTATTTATTTGTTTGAGAGAGAGAAAGAGAACATGAGCACAAGCAGGGTGGAGAAGGGTAGAGGGAGAAGCAAACTCCCCACTGATCAGGAAGCCTGATGTGGCACTCAATCCCAGGACTCTGGGATTATGACCTGAGCCAAAGGCAGATGCTTAACTGATTGAGCCGAGCCACCTAGTCACCCAGGACCATATATTTTTTAAGGAACCTTTAACTATAATATAAACTCAACAAAATTATTCTACTGTCAGGGGCGCCTGGGTGGCTCAGTAGGTTAAGCCTCTGCCTTCAGCTCAGGTCATGATCTCAGGGTCCTGGCATTGGGCTCTCTGCTCAGCGGGGAGCCGGCTTCCCCATCTCTCTCTGCCTGCCTCTCTGTCTACTTGTGATCTCTCTCTCTCTCTCTGTCAAATAAATAAAATCTTTAAAAAAAATTATTCTACTGTCAAATGCTACCATAAAAATGTCACCAAAATATAACATAGTTACAGAATGCTAGAAATTGTATCTCATCCATAAAAACAAATTATATTAGGCCATCTAACGAGCCTATTCCTCTAATTTCATGCTTTAGAACTCTGTGTATGTTCTGGAAAAGAAGAGGTAGAAGAAAAAAGACTGGGCATGAAGAAAATGATACAAAAGAAAAAAAGAACAGTGATGTGATAGAACCAGGAAAAAAAAAAAGAGAGAGAGAGAGAATCCCTTTTGAATTTTCAGTTCTCCCAGTAATAGGCAGCTAATAGATCATATCTAAGGATTAATTATGATGGTGTTTCAGACTTCAGAAGCAAATAGAACAGAAGAAAATGCTATTGACAGATGGTCTGTGATACTTGATAAGCATAGATGGTAAATAAACTTTTGTTGGAAAATGAATCTGGCCGATATGAGGAGGAAGTTTCAACTCGATTTATTCAAAGCATCTGAAGCCAAAAGAATCTGACTTGGATGTTTTTACTATCTTACTTTTTCCTTTCAGAATTCCTGCAATTATTGTCAAATGTTTCCCATTGCTAGAACGACCACTATTTATGGCTGTGATTTTTAAAAAATTCCATCTATAAATAAATTTTCTTCACAATAGAAATTCTCAAAGTGCCTCTGATATTTTTCCACTTGTGAAGGATTGTTTTCAGTTAAAGTTAGATATAAAAAAAAAAAGCTTAGATTTGTTTTATTTGCTAGCATAACCACTGCAACTTTCATTCAACCCAGTGAGCCATTTTTGCCCATTCCAATGACTCATTTGTTTGTATTTAATCAGTAATTACCAGTCTCTAAAATTGTATCTGCTGGTACCATAACAAGTAATTTGTTTCCATCATAACTATAGCTCTAGTGATATATGGATCTAAAATCCAAAACAGATCCCATCAGAAAGTCAATATGAGCCAATAATACAGAATCTCAAATATCTCATTTTTATTAGACCTATAGTTTCTTTAATATACTTTCATGAATTTTTAACGATTTTGTAAAATAATATTGTACAAATTGTCACATTATATTTTCTACATGATAGCGTTTTTTTGTTTTTGTTTTTGTTTTTGTTTTTAAGTAGGCTCCATTCTCATCATGGAGCCAAACACTGGTCTTGAACTCACAACCTGAGATCAAGACCTGAGTTGAGATCAAGAGTAGGACATTTAACCAACTGAGCCACCCAGGCATACCTACATGACAGTAGGTCTTAAACCAGGTTCTTAATATTTCTTTTCAAAGGTATACCAAATAAAGTCAAGTTAAAGAATACCTAAAGCCTACACACAAATGAGAAAGAGAAACACAAGTTGCTAAAATAGAAATTTCACTTATTAAATGAATTTGAGATAAATATAAGTTTCTTCTCACCTTATTATTGTATAATCCTACTCTCAGAACACTGTTTTCCATGGAATAATAAAATTGAAGATGGCAGCTCTTGCCCAGGCAGTGACACAGAGAGCTATTTAAATAAGCTTTGCTGTCTAAATGGTTAAGAGTAGAAGCATCCGTAGCTCCTAACCAGATATAGTAACCTGAAAAATAAAGGAAAAGGAAGCAATTTAGAAAAAAATGAGCTGCTTTCTGTTTGAACAAAATTATTTTTTTGTGGACTTTTCAAAATCAGGCTTGGGAGACAAATATTTTACTTGAAGGGACAGGATGTTTTATTCATTCACTTATTTATTCATTCATTATTTTTAGGGATATGATGTTTTAAAATGATTGTGTCAACCACAAATTATAGGCTTTCATTTCTATATGTGATTTTTAAATGCACTGAAATCTGCTCCTAGTTCCTGAAATTAGGAAATTTCAATTCAATATTCTTTTAAAAAGATATTGACTGATATAAAAATCTCATGCTACAAAATTATCATCATTTTCTTTTAAATGTCACAGTGCAATCTTTCTTTAACCAAGAATTCCTCACTTTTCTTCCCAGAATTATTTCCCCTCTTACTTTTTCTACTTCTTAGCTGTAGAAAAATCTTTTTAGTTTAAGGGAATATAAACAGCCCTCTTTCTTACCCAACCACATGGAAGTATCAGATACCACAGTTCCATTAAACTTCAGGTATGGATTTTGTACTACATAAAAATATTGTCAATCAATTTTATCCCATCTGATACTTAAAACCAATTTGCACTATTTTTAAATTTAGTAATATAGATAATGAAGAGATACAAAGATATTTCTATGCTCTTACAGCTTTTCAATAATGGTTTGCTTTTCAATAATGGTTTCCAATGTGTTATTTCTGTGTAAGTTAGTGAATATTCCTATAGTTTCTTAAAACTATGAATTTAAATTAGATAAAACTCTTCTTTGCTGCGAAATGGAAGACTTTTAGGCAAAATACAATTTTAAGTTAACACATCTAACTTACACACAAAGAAATGATAAATAAGATAAAGACATATTTTTACAAAAACTGAGACAGCTCAATTTCAACATAAAATATCTCAATAGATAAGTAAAGAACAATTCTACCAAGTGATGAGTAGGGCTGACACCAAAGAACTCTGGAACTTTCAGATCAGCCCCAAGTTGTGGTAGCTTAGATTCTGACTAACTTGAATGCTGCAAACAAAAGCTGGAGGAAAAAACTCTCTCAATGAAGTCAAAGATTAGAGTTGGGGAATTCTGCTCAGAAACTGAGGTGGAACATATACCAACAGTCACTACCTTGCGCTATGACTAAGTGATAGGATGTGCAAAATTCCATGGATTATCACAAAGATGAAACCCTAAACTAGTATTGTTACTAGGGGTAGTCTTGGGGAAAGAGACATGTAAAAATGACTGGGCTGTTTAACTATTAATAGCAAGGCTTATATTAAAAAAAAATAAAACTTCATCACTGCCTTACTAACTGGAGTTTGATCAGAACCTAACTGACCTGGGAGAAGAGAAATATCAACTCCAGCAGGCTTTAGTCTTACACATGAGAGGAGGAAAATACCCAGATCCAAACCCTTCTAGCCTTCCTTCCTGTCTCACCTAAGGCTGGAGGAGGAAGCACCTTTAAAGGTCATGTAACTGAGGAACAATCTCATGAAAAGAATGAGAACTAATCATAGGACTCTAGAATGTTACTCCTCTCCTCCTTAAAACTTACCACAACTCACTTCAAAGGGCGTCCTGTATAATAATAGGATAATACTATCCAAAGAACTGTAGGTCTCAGACCTAATTTAAGATGTCTCTAGGGAAACCCAAAGACAACAGGTAAGACAAAAACAAGGATAACAGATGAAATTCTAGCCTCAAACATCTACAGCTGTGGCAAAAAGTAGAGAGTCTAATCTCTAGCTACAGAAAAATAATAGGTCATGCTAAATACTTATTGACCTTAATTCCCTTAATATAGCACATCATGTCTGGCTTTCAACAAAACATTAGACAGCACACTGAAAGGCAAAAAACAAAAAATAGGGTTTGAGGAGAAAGAGTAAGTATCAGAACAAGACCCAGATATGGCAGGAATGTTGAAATTATCAGACTAAACATTTAAAACAACTATAATTAATAAGTTAAGAGCTCTAATGGAAAAAAAGTAGAAACATGCAAAAAAAAGATAGATGATGTAGTCAGAGAGATGGAAATTCTAAGAAAGAATAAAAAATACTAGAGACCAAAACAAAACACTATAACAGAAATGAAGATTGCCTTTAATAGGGTCCAACTCTTGATTTCAGCTTAGATCATGATCTCAGGATCGTGAGATCAAGCCCCACATAGGGCTCCATGCTCACTTCAGAGTCAGTTTGAGATTCTCTCTCTCTCCCTTGCCCTCTGCCTCCCCCCCACATTCATGTGTGCACTCTCTCTGTCTCTCTAAAATAAATAGAATCTTTAAAAAATGAAGAAGAAATAAACACTTTCTCAGACAAATGAAAATTGAGATAATTTGTAGCCAATAGACCTGTTTTGTAAGTAATGTTAGGAAAGAAAGATGGCAGCAGTGTAGGAGGAACCTAGGTTTACCTTGTCCCAGGAACACAACTAGGTAACTATCAAATCACTCTAAATACCCCAGAAATTGAGCCAAAGACTGACAGAACAAACTCCACAACTAAAGGGAGAGAAAAGGCCACACTGAAGAAGGTAGAAAGTGTGGAGATGTGGTTTAGAGCAGAAATGGTTGGTGGGTATTGCAGAAGGGAAGGAGCCATGGTCACTGAGAAGGGCAAGAGATAGAAGAGTACACAGGGGAATGCACAAAGAGAAAGTTTCCCCAAAGTCGTTGGCTTGGAAAAGAAGAGGAGCTGAAGATTGTGAGTTCTTGCACCTAGGAGGGCTTAAAGTCTGAAATTTTAAAGGTCAATGAGCTTGGCTGGGATAGAGCCCAGAGGTCACCGCACTACTTCTGGAGAGCAGGCAGGCAAACAACCTAAGGGCAAACAGTGCAGAAGCACTGATCTACATTCGCTCTTCTCAGAGCACACACCTGAAAAGCAGAGTTCACAGAGATGCCTCTCCAGGAACAAAGAGTTGGTTGGCGCCACTCCACTGTGTTTATGCGCCACCATAAACACAGAGCCCACCCAAGGGAAGCAGGATAGCACCAACATTAGCTACCTAATTTGCTTACACTAAGCTCCATACCCCTGAACTCTGACAGAACTGCTATTCTCAGTCAAGCATGCCTCAGTCCTAACACAGGACCGCTTTCCTCAGAACACGAGCACAAACCCCTGCTCCCATCATGTCTCCTTGCCAGAGAGTTCTTCAGGGCCTCCATTCCAGTGAAAGTGGTGTCAGGTCTCACAAGCAGACCTGAGCACTTCTAGTTAAATCTTGTCACATTCAGGCCAGGAACCAAACACTGCTCACAGCAGACAACAAGAGGCTCTACAGATGACTGGCCTGAAGGATAGATCAACAAGAACACAATAGCAGAGTGCATTCAGGACATTCCAGAGATACTCCTTGAAGTGCCAGGACCTTGACACTACATGACCTCTTCTTCATGGTCATTAGATTCAAGAGGAGTCATAACTGGCTTTTCTAACACAGAGAAGAAGGCACAGAGTTAGACAAAATGCCAAGATGGAGGAATTAATCCCAAATGAAAGAACAAAATAAGGCCACAGCCAGAAATATAAGTGAAGCAGATATAAGTAACAGACCTGATGAAGAATTTAAAACAACAATCATAAGGATACTCATTGTGCTTGAGCAAAAAATAAAAGTGAGACCCTTAACAAAGGGGGAAAGGAGTTAAAAAAGAATCAGAGATGAAGAATGCAATAAATGAGATTGGAAACAGACTTGATGCAACGAACAGCAGGCTAGAAGAAGCAGAGAAATGAATTTGTAATGTAGAAGGCAAAATAATGGAAAATAATGAAGCTGAACAAAAGAGAGGAAGAATTATGCAACAGAAGAATAGATGTAGGGAACTCAATGACTCCATCATTCACAATAACATTCAGAATTTAGGAGTCTTGGAAGAATCGAAGAGAGAAAGGGGGGCAGAAATTTTTAAGAAGTAATAGTAAAAAACTTCCCTAGTCTGGGGAACAAAACAGATATCCAGATCCAGGAGGCACTGAGAATTCCCATCAAAATCAACAAAATAGTCCAACACCAAAATATATTGTAATCAAATTTTAAAATAGTCCAATACCAAAATATATTGTAATCAAATTTTTTAAATATAGGGATAAAGAAAAAAAATCTTAAAAGAAGTCCTTAACTTACAAAGGAAAACCCATAAGGCTAGGTAGAGATTTCTCAATAGAAACTGCAAGCCAGAAGAAAGAGGCAAAGTGCTGAATGGGAAAAATCTGCAGCCAAGAATACTCTATCCAGCAAGGCTCTCATTTAGAATAGCATAAACAATGAATTTTGGATCACTGGGAAAAAATTTTTAATTTAATTTTTTAAAAATTTAAAAAGAGAGATAAAGAGTTTCCCTGACAAACAAAAACTATAGAAGTTTGTGACCACTAAAACTGCCCTGCAAGAAATATTAAAGAGGAATCTTTGAGTACAAAAGAGAGACCAAAAGGGACAAAAATAAGAAAGGATCAGAGAAAATCTCCAGAAGCAACAATATAACAGTAATGAAATGTCAATAAATACATATCTTTAAATAATTACTTTGAATGTAAATGGACTAAATGCTCCATTAGGAAGACATAGATTGTCAGAAAGGAAAAAAAATTAAGACCTATCTATATGCTGCCTAAAAGAGATTTATTTTAGACCTAAAGATGTCTATAGATTGAAAGTGAAGGGATGGACAAACTTTTACCATGAAAATGGATGCCAAAATAAAGCAAGAGTAGTAATATATATATTAGACAAACTAGATTTTATTTTTTTAAAGATTTACTTATTTATTTTAGAGAGAGAAGGAAAGCATGCAAGTAGGGGGAGGGCCAGTGCTAGAGGGAGAGAATCACAAGCAGACTCTGCACTAACTGTGGAGCCTGACATGGGGCTTGATCTCATGACCCTGAGATCATGACCTGAGCCAAAACCAAGAATCAGATATTCCACTGATTGAGCCACTCAGGCACCCAGACAAACTAGACTTTAAACCAAATACTATAACAAAAGATGAAGAAGGACACCATATCATAATAAAGAGGACAATCCAACAAGAAGATGTGACAATTGTAAATATTTATGCACCCAACTTGGAAGTGCTCAAATACATAAAACAATAACAAACATGAACTAATTGATAATAATACAATAATAGTAGGGGACTTTAACACCCCCATTTACATCAATGGACAGATTATCTAAACAGAAAATAAACAAGGAAACAATGGCTTTGAATTTAAGGAACGTTAGAAGAAATTCTTCAAAGAAAAGGAAAATTATATCTGTCAGAACCTCAGATCTAAATAAAGGAAGGAACAGTCCTAGGAAAGCAATAAATGAAACACATCGGTTGCTAAGTTTTGGCAAAATCTTTTAATTATAGTTTCCTTAATTGATCTAAAAGAGCATAGTTTGTTCAAAATAGTAACAGCCACAATGCATTTGATGATTATAGTTTGCAAATAAGTGAAATGAATGACAACAATGATGCAAGGGGCAGGAGGGAGGAATTAGGAATATTCTATTATAAGATACTTGCATTACATGAAGAAGTATGAAACTATTTGAAAGTGGAGTTGGATTAGTTGTAAATGAAATTCATAAATTCAGAGCAAGCACTAAAAAAAGGGTGGAAAAGGAAGTATAATTGAAATACTAAAAAAGGAAATAAAAAAGAAGCATATAAAATCTTCATTTAAAACTACAAAGGCATAACAGAAGTGGAAGACAAAAATAAGAACACAGAATAAGGGCAACAAATAGAAAACACTAACACACAGGCCCCCAGGACATATATTTAATAGGAATTTAAGAAAATTAGAACAGAGGGACTAAAAGAGAATTATTAGAAAAGAGTAACATACCATTTCCACAAGTGATGAAATACATATATTCTGAGCATTGAAAAATTTAATTAAAAATATATTCATAATCTGTACTCATTATAGTGACATTTTCAAACATTAGAGATAAACATTTTTTTTAAATCTGCATAAAACTGAAAAAGAATTAGATGAGTTCAGACTTCCCAATGACTACCATAGATATCAGGAAATAAAGAACCATCTCCATGTGCTTAGAAATAAAATATACAGACTTTCTTTAGAAAACTGTCTGACCTGATTGATTATTATTTAGGAGTGAGGTCATTAAAAATATTCTAAGTTTATAACATAAACGTTAAGCAAGCCCATCACCACTGATCTTTTCTAAATTAAAGGACAATTAGTAAGTGAAGCTTTTCAAGAAGGAAAAGAAATCAAGGGCATGAAATAAAAGAAACAATGGTGAATAAAGAAAATGATAGGGATGACTGGGTGGCTCAGGTGTTAAGCATCTGCCTTCAGCCCAGGTCATGATCCTGGGGTCCTGGGATTAAGCCCTGCATCGGGCTCCAGGTTCAGCAGGGCAGCCTGCTTCTCACTCTGCCTTTCCCCCTGCTTGTGTTCTCTCTCTTTCAAATAAATAAATAAAATTTTTACAAAAAGAAAGAAAGAAAGAAAGAAAGAAAGAAAGAAAGAAAGAAAGAAAGGAAATGATAAAAGATAAAAGACCAAAAACCTAAGACCTTAACAAACACCTCACCAAAGAAGACATATGGATGGCAAGTAAGCATATGAAAAGCATAAGGCATTAGGGAACTGCAAACTGAAACAAGGAGATAGCACTACACACCTATTAGCATGGCTGGAATCCAGGACACTGACATTGCCAAATGCTGGAGAGGATGGAAAGCAACAAGATCTCTCATTCATTGTTGATGGAAATAAAAAATGGTACCTTTACTTTGGGAGACAGCTTGGTAGTTTCTTACAAAACCAAATATATTCTTACTACATGATCCAGCAATCATGGTCCTTGGCATTTACCCAAAAGAGGTGAAAACTTAGGTCTACACAAAAACCTTCACATAGATGTTTATGGCAGCTTTATTCATAATTACAAAACACTTGGAAGCAACTAAGATGTCCTTCAGTAGGTGAATAAATTCTGGCACATCCAAGCAATGGGATATGATACACTATGAAAAAGAAATAAGCTATCAAGCCATGAAACGACATAGAGGAAATTTAAATGCATATTACTAAATGAAGGAAGTCAATCTAAAAAGGCTACCTATTGTATAATTCCAACTATATGACACTGAAGAAAAGGCAAAACTATGGAGAAAGTAAAACCTACATGGAAGAAGAAAAAAATAGCTATTGCTTTCTGCAAAATCTTAAATTAAGTAAAATCTTAAATTATTACTTTAAAAAAAGACTAATAATATGCCTCCTCAAAAAAGAAAGAAAGAAAGAAAGAAAGAAAGAAAGAAAGAAAGAAAGAAAGAAAGAAAGAAAGAAAAACAGTGGAAAGAACAATAAACAGAAACACAAATTTAATATTAGATGAAAAAGAAACTCATCGACACTAGTGAAAGGGAGAGCTAATACATTTTGATAGAAGCTTTTTAATACCTTTCCTTTTGGTTCCCACAAAATCTATTATCTCCTGATGATAAGAAAATAATAAAATTTACAAAATTAAAATAGTTTACCTAGTATAATTCTTCCTTTACATTATTGATAATAAGGTTTTTTATTTTTTTTACTTTCACTATGCATGGTAAATATAGTTTCAAGAAAATATACTCAGTATCTTCATCAAGATCCCTGATGAAATGTTTTAATACCACTCACAATAAATCACAATTCTGAAAAAATCATATTAAGAATATTATTTTTTTTTTTTAGTTCCTACCTTCGTCACTCCTTTGATCCTGCTGAGGTCTAGATTCTAATGCAGGAATTTCTCTTGCTTTTGTGCGCATCCAGGAAATTTGCCCAGCAGATGTTTCGGACGCCCAGTCACACATATCAAATTCAAATCCACAGATCTGATACACTACAGAGAGGTGGAAAAGACAATGGTGCACCACCAGAGTCACTAGAGTGGCTGCTTAGCCATAGCATATGATTTGTAATCAAGGCTTCACACACACACACACACACACACACACACACACACACACACACACACAAACACACATACGCACACACACCCGCATGCACACACACATTCTAATTCATACCTAGAAATTTTGGTTGAACAAGCCTTGGAGTATACCAGCATACCTGTTTTTCAAAAGTTCTTCCTTGATCCAGATGGGCACCCTCCCAAAGGAAAACCATTACCATTTAAAAGAAAAAGATGTTTTTCACTTTTTCTTGTATCACTGCTCCAGTTACAATGTTTTCAATGGCATACATAGTATCTGACCTGACCTAGCTTACCGAACTAAGTTAGTTTAAATCATTTGTTATTCATAATCTCACTGAAATTTTAAAGAAGAAACTCTGGATATAATTCAAAGATGGTCTTTAATGGAACTATTTTACAGAACAACATCTCTTTAAATTGACATACTTACTATCTTCCATGCTTTGAATAAATCACACACTTTCAATAACACTTTGGCTAAACTTAGGACATAAATGTCAACAAAGTTTGGCAAGTGAGTATCAATAATAGTAGTCTGAATTACTACCAGTGGTCCAAGTCTCATGGGTGGCTACATACCATTATGGTGGGCATCTCAATTTAACACTTACCCCTCAGTCCTTCATCTGTAGAATCAAAACTGCAGAGACTTGTATCTAGAAGGCACTGCTCCTGCTCTGTATTCAATGTTTCTGGACAGGGTAAAATTTCATCTGTTAAATTTAAAAATTGGCAAGAAGTGAGATGTAAGTGCATCTGGAAAGGCACATGTATTTTTTAAAATATTAGCATTTGTTCTAGAAAGCACTCTCCACCCAACTCCATTCTGTGGCAGCATCTCCCCTCAGGCAACCCCATTACACACAGAGAGAGACAGAGACAGAGAGAACAATACAACTCTGCTAGTGCTTCTGGATTTTAACCAGATCCCTGTGGTGACTACCAAGCTCCCAAACCAAATCTTCCAAGTATCCATGAAGTAACATGGCCTAATGTGGAAACACAAAGCCTATCCTTAGGAGCATAATGGAACATGTGTCAACTGTAAGATAGACTGTCCTTTTTAGCTGGAAGCTGATCTACTGGAACTACTGCCCCTGCCATCTTCTCCCATTGTGTCTGTTTTTCCCTCCACCGCCCTCCCAACACTGAGCTGGAAAGTGGACTAGGTATCCTTCCTGTCCTGTTGCTACTTCCAGACAATTCTCACTCTCTCCTCCCGAAATACCTGAGACACAATCCTGACAAGAACCACAAGGCCTGGGACAGCCACAACATGGGCTCTGGTGGGGGTGGGAGAAATGTGCACAGGAGCTCACCACAAGCAACATGGGTCCAAGTGAGTGCCCCAAGCATTTCCAGTCAAAAGGCATCACTGTGGATACACTGAGACCTCCAGGAAATTCAAGACCTACTCCAGCCTGTATCTGTGTGGTGAAAGGTGAGCACAGAAGAGCCCACCACCACGCTGACTGAAATGGCTTTGTATCTGTGACTACTCACTTGGTTGCATGTGGCCATCCCACCACATTTTCTTTTCTCTCCTTTTCCACCACTCCTAGGTAGCTATTCAAAATCCTTTATCCCCTCCTTCACCTTCCAATTCCTTCTTCCCCATCATCATTCTCAGAAAATCATGTTGCTTCACATTTCACTGGGAAAATGAGAGGAAACAGGAGAAAACTTCCCAAGTCCCACCGCCCATCTCCGTGCACTGCTGCCCATGTTTCTTCAGAAAATCATCTCCTCTTTCCTGTTTTAGGAATTATTCTAGCAATTTCCTTCCCTCTTTTACATCAACAGGTTTTCTTTCACTTCAGTACGCAAGGGGGCCAAAATTTCACCCATGGTAAGAAAACCCTCTGACCCTACAACCCCTTCCAAGTAACTTCGCTAAGTTCTACCTATTTCCATGGATTCCAACACCAGTTCTTCTCCCCACATCCTTTCTTGAGCCTATTCCAGTGAGGTTTTTGATTTTTTTTTAACGAGGTAAAATTCACATAACATAAAATTCACCATTTTAACCATTTTAAAGTATACAATTCAGTGGCTTTTCTACAATTACAATATTGTACAATCATTACCACTACTTCCAAAACATTTTTATCCCTCCAAAATAAAACCCATACCCAGTATAAGTCACTCCCCATTCTCTGCTCCTCCTCAGGCTCTGGCAACCACCAACCTTCTTTTCATCTCCATAGATTTGCCTTTTCTGGACATTTCACATAAACACAATCATACAATATGTAGCCTTTTGTGTTCGACTCTTTTTTACTTAGCATAACGTTTTTGAGGTTCATTCACGTTGTAGGGCATATCAGAACTTTATTTTTCTTTTCTGTACCCTTACTACTCCACTGAAAGTACATATATCAGGAATGACCTATATTGCTAAATCCCATATTTAATTTTTCCACCTTGTCACACCTGACATGTCAGTAATATTGGATATACTTGATCACTCCCTCTTTCTTGAAACCGTTTCTTCACTAGGCTCTGATACATGATTCTCTTCTGGTTTTCCTCTTCAATTACTAGCTGTTCATTCTCAGTCTCCTTTGCTGGTTTTTCCTCATTTCCTCCACATTACACAAAGTAACATGAGAATGCCCCAGAGCTCAGTCCTTGGATCTCTTCTCTTCTCTACACCCACAATCTTGTTAATATCACCTCATTTCACATATTTAAAACACTTCCTAGATGCCAATGACCCATAAAATTATCTTTCAGTCCCAGCTTCCCTGGACTCCAATATTTATATGTCCTGTTGCTGTCTTGGCCCTTTCACTTGGAGAGCTAACATGCATCTTGATAGAAATGGGTCTAAAACTAAACTTCTGCTTCTGTCTCCCCAGACTTTATCCTCTGCTTTTCTTCCCATCTCAGCTAATGACAATTCCATCCATTCTATTTCAGGAAGAAATCTGGATCCATGACCCATCTCTTGCTCTCACCCATCACTATATCCATCAGCAAATCTTTGCTTTGTCTGTAAACTAGCATCCAGAATCTCGCTATGTCCTACCACCTCTGCTACTACTACCAATTCTGACTCAAGGGAGCATCACCCTTTCTGGATTACACTAACTTCTTATTTTGCCTCCTTACCCTCTTCTGACCTTTAAGTATGTCTGTTAGATCATGTCTCCTCTGCTCAAAATTATTACATGGGTTTCTGTCCTTCATTAATAAATGCATTAGCTCTTACCATGATCTTCCTTATACAAACCAAGACGACTCTTGCATTAGGACCTTTGCATTTACGGTTCCTTCCAAAATACACACGGCTTACTCTCTCAACTCCTTGGGGATTTTTCTGCTCCTAAATGTGCTCTCCATGTACTATGCCTGACTACTCTATTTAAAACTCCATCTTACCTGTATCTGTGGCACTTCTTTTCTCTGCTTTCTGGTGTTCTCCATGGCATGTATCACCACTTGACATAAAATTCTGTTTTTATTTACTTACTGTATTTCTCTCTTTCACTAAAATGTAATTCCATGAACACAGGGATTGCTGTTTGTTTTTTACTGCTATCTCCCCATTGTCTGAAATAATCCTTGGCACAACATAGGTGTTCTCTATATTCTTGTGTAAGGACTGAATAAATCCATGACCTGAGAACAATTCAACAAAATTCTTGAAAATATCATAGATACTATGTAAATTGTTTACACTTTTATTTGGAATAAAATTGAAGCAATTGGTTATAAAACGATTTATGAATAACATCCATAAGCTGATTTCTTATCATGGGAGCTTATAAATAAATGATGAATATGCAAAGTCTCTTGAATGTAAGATCCACTGAAAATAAAACTGCATATGCAATTAAGGGAGTGTGAGTAATAAACGAAGCTAAGATTACACAATAACAATTAACATGAAACAATTAAAACTGTAATTTTTGTAGATTCACATAATAGCTGTAGATCTTCTGCCCCCTAGAGCTAAATAATTAAGTATTGGCCATAGTTCAACTAAATGTTGTATATTATCTCTAATTTTTCACTATTTATACAAGACAAAAAACTCACAAAAGTACTATAAACAAAAATAGCAATATAGTCAAATATAAATTATAAGATATTAAAAATGTAGCTTGTGTCAATTGGTATTCAATATCTTTCATCAGTGTCAACCATTATTCTACCTTCATCCCCCAAACTGGAATTTATAACCATAAGAACAGTAGATGGGGGTATGAGTCGACAATCAATTAATCTCCTGGGTACCTCTTTTTATTTTAGTGCATTCAATCTCAGAGCTCAAAACTATTTAATGGTGTCAATTATCTATATTTATGTTAATATGTATTTTCTCTACATCCCCACCCTCTTTATTTCTCACTGTTACATTACACCACAATCTGGCTGCAGAAAACTATTTTGGGGATTTTAAAATCCTCCACCCATGATACGTTTTCATCAGGATGAAGCTTTGTCAACCATTTTAAGGTCTTTATACCAGTGAAGACACATTTCCTTCAAATCTTATCTTGTACAAGCAGGTTATGCAAAATTGGCCAGATTCTCTCTCACATGGTACAGAATGAAGTCAAAGTCTCAAGGCCATTGGAGTAGAAGTTATAATTGGCATCTACTTTTGACTCCAGGGGCTTTAGACAATCTCCTTGTCAATTTTCTTAAATTAGTAATGAATTTCAAGGAACAGTTCTTGGATCCTAAAAGGTAGGTAGAAGCTAATAAGACAAAAAAGGTAACTAGCTCCTTAGTTATTTAACTGGGTAATATGTATGCACCATTCAAATTCTCATTAAAAGATGGTTTTGTGTATTTGGGGCCTTCATAAATGAGATGAAGGCAAGATCCTGGCAAACCAATATAAAAATATTCAAAGAATATTCACAATATTCTGATTATGAACCACAACAACATGCCATTTTTATAAAAATTATAATAAGCAATTTACTCAAAAATCAGTGGCTAAACACATACCTATTTATTCACAGTCACAAAGCTTGACTTTTCTTTCATACATGCTACTTTGGTAAAGTCTAAAAATATCCTTCTTTCAATGAATGTGCAGTGAATTTTTTTGGAAAAGGGCAGTAATTAGAATGATACTGTTTGAAGGTGTGGGAATAATATAAAAGATTTCTCTAATGTTAAAAAAAGAATTTAGTTGAACTAAAATGTTCAGAAACTATAAGGGTACCTATACTGACACCATAAGCACATTTATAAAGTTGTTCACATTTTTATAGTGAAGAGAAATATATACAGCAAAATTATAAAGTTGCACTTTTTCTTTAAAGATACTACTACTACGGGCACCTGGTGGTTCAGTGGTTTAAAGCCTCTGCCTTGGGCTCGGGTCATGATCCCAGGGTCCTGGGATCAAGCCCCATATCGGGCTCTCTGCTCTGCAGGGAGTCGGCTTCCTCCTCTCTCTCTTCCTCTCTCTCACTGCCTCTCTGCCTACTTGTGGTCTCTGTCTATCAAATAAATAAATAAAATCTTTTTTTTTAAAAAAGATACTACTACTAAGTACTCTATGTGGCAGCTTCCTCACCATCAGAATTGTTTAAACTTTCAAAAGTTACTATTTCTTCTTTAAATGTATTTAAACTTACATATGGTAAAATGAAGTCAGACTTTTGATTATCCAGTCCTATGAATTTTGGCAAACATAGACCCATCATCTTTCAATCAATACTCCATTTATTTAGTCAGATCTTCTTGA